AAAATTTCAGCTTTCCAAATTCTCTTTTTCTTGAGTTAGCAGTTTTCCTGCCAAAAAATTTCATGGATCCGTACATGAGAACCATGCGTATCTGAGGCTGAATTTGATATCATCATCTTTAACGGGAGGCAGGGGACACACTCTTAAAATTTCAGCCCCCAGCTTTTCCGGTTCCCAAGTTAGTCACTTCCCTGTCAAAAAATTTCACGGGGCCGGTCGTGATAACGACGCATGTATGGGGGGCTGAACCCGATAATTTTAAGTTGTACATGTGCTTGGAACATCCCTAAAAATTTCAGCCTCACAGCTTTTCTGGTTCCACAGTTAACGATTTTCGCGCAAGAAACCCTTATGGGGCCAAAAGAGGATACCTCGCACAACTGGGGACTGAATTTGAAACCTTGAAGTTCCATGTGGACAGGGGACACAACCTCAGAATTTCAGCTTTTTAGCTTTTCTGGTTCCAAAGTTAGCGACTTTTCGGCCAAAACTTTCACCCTCTCATGCGCGGGATCCAGACTTGAGTGAGGGCCGCTACGGCGGTCTTGGGATGGCATTTTTGTCGGAGAACCCACTGGTAAAATTTTGGCGTCGGAGCTTGCTTGGGTACTGAGTTAATTATACCCGGACAGACGCACACACACACGGGGATCGTCACAAAATACGTTTGTGCATTTGCATATAAGCAAAAACACATAATTATTCTCAAAATGTACATAGCACTCTGTGTTGGAGCACCATTTCCAAATGAAAGGTTGGGAAATCAGAGAACTGCATTCACACGTACGAGCTGGCCTTCAACTAATCCCAGCCACCTAAGTTCCAATCTCTTTAACAGTTGCTTAACGATGGTTTAGTCGCTGCATTTACTACCGAGACTACTGCATAACATTTAAAGCAACACGAGTAACATGTCTCGAGTGAAAGTACCATGTATAGATTTTTGTCAAGATGGTGCGAACAGTTAATGGAGGGGCGCCAAGTTTTTGCTGTCACTGGGGCGCACCCATACGCTAATTGTTGATTATCGTAATAATTTTGTTCTAATGAAATGCATTACTTGCCTAACTCATCATTTTTAACACAGCACGGCGTTACATGGATGACACACTTCTCGAAATGACGCATGAAGTGGCTGTAACCCCCATATATCCACTTTTACCCAGCAAGTTCGGTACCGGCCGCCGCTGATCTTCGGCGATTACTCTTCACCTGGCTCCATTCAGTGACCCAAACTGAGTGAGTTTGCTCGACCAAACTGGGTTCCTTTCCAATCACATTGCGCCTTATCTGCCCCTTAAACCTTTTCACATTTCCACCCCTCGCACCCCCTATACATTCATACGCACAGAAACACGGAACATTTCTCGAAGGGTGTAGAACAAACTGAACACCCCAAATCGGACGCTCCGCGCATTATGCGCCACTGACTGCAGCTGTTCTAGGAGCTTCGATCCTAAGTTACATGCCTCCAATTATAGTACCTAACACTTGTTCGATGTATATGGGCCATATCATCGAAGGTTGGTCGAGTAGCCATTTGCTTTCTCCTGGTACTACCACTAGTGCTTGGTTTTTGTCAGCACGTCGTGGCTATTTCGCTACTTCAAAAGCATGCAAAATAAAAGTTTTGTAAGATAGCTTTAACTTATTACATAGTTAACTGAAATCGTATGTCTTGGCTACTAGCTTAAGAAGCAAGGGCACTTATGGCCCAGAGTCAAAACGTAATATTGTTAGGCGGTTGTGATATTTTTTTTTCCTAGATATCACACCTTTCTTGTCGTAAAGATATCTTATTTCAATGTAAAACGTACATCGTTTCTGATCGGGATGAAATCGTAGGTGCGTGAGGAACAAACTGTTTTCCCTGTTTCATTCGTTGTAACCCAGCAATTTGTTTTGTTACACGCTTTGGATCCAATGTAATCATGATAATTTTTCTCGCAAACATCCTTTACAGTTGGCTTTCGGTCTACAGAAGGAAAATTAGTGCACTGAGATTAAGTTCAATGGTAAGTTTTTACCAGGAGCTTTAACACGCCCACTCTAACAAGTCTTTGTTATTTTGCTATGTCAGAACAAAGTCAAATCCTGTCTTGTATCCGTTTTCTTTGCGAGAAAGAAGCATTTGGAAGTAGCCTGAGTGGCAGAAGCAGTCACCTGTAGTCATGGCGACTGTCGATGAATCACTCTTCTTAAGATTCGTGACAAATGTTAATACTAATTAACTATAGAAACTAATGTACTAATTTACTATAGAAACTAAAGTATTAATTTACTATAGAATAATGTAGAGGGACCGATGTTCTATTTCCGAGCTTTCACCAATAACGCTTCGAAACTGTAGGTACGGTTCAAAAATTTGGTTCCGCTTCATAATGGGATCATTATGTCTGAGAATCTTTGCAACTCCTCGTTGCCAGCCGGATGCATATACAAAGTGTAAAGGCTTTGACTGTGCTGGATTTATTATCCAGTCCATACAGCACTTCCCGAATTTGTGGATTATTTTTTACATTTTAATGCAAAGTTGAATTCTCTCGAAAAACTTTCTGTCCCCTCGTTTGGACCAGAC